TTTGCATTGTGTTTTGGTAGACGGCCGTGCTCTTTTTTTTTTTGTCAAAATTTCTTTTTTAAACACAAAAAAAAACTTTTGATGTTCATTTTTCCACCGTTTGGCCCCCGAGGCAGTGCTTTCTTAACCAATTCCGTCCCCCCTCCCCCCCCCCCCCCCCCCACTATTGGAAGCTGACACCAAGCTAGGTTTGATTTGATATCTTTGATTGTGCGGAATCGCCCACAATAAGTGTGTCAATTTCTTGAATCGGCTTTGATGGGTTCCTCACTCCATTGCATTCTCCCTCGAGACTTTCAACGCTGGCTTCATGATTGCCATTCACACTTGTGGATTCGTAGATTTCAACATCTTGGTTTTCTTCTTGATGGGCTTCCTCATGTACAAATGGATTTAAACTTCTTGAACAATTTCACTAGGCCGACATTCAAGGTTTTGAGAACTCTGTACTATTCTTGCCTTGGATTTCCTAATTTCTTGGATAATAACCTCTTCACTGCTGATTGCATTCTTGGCGTTTTCACGCGCCGTAACTTCTACAGTCTCATTTGCATTTAAGGTCGATGAAAATTTTGAGTTGAGTTCATCCAAACGTTTTTGAAAATTTGACAGTTTGTGTTTCATCTTCTTGACAACTTTTCTTCCATCAGGCAGATGGAGCCTTCACATGATGTATCTCCGTTTTAATAAAGAGTAGATCATAATTCAGCCTCAGTAGTTGCTTCCAACTTTTCGCTGCCCACAGTCGATGAAATGGATGGTAAATGATATCAATAAAGGATGGAGGCGATTTAGTGGAACTCTTGTTCGCCCAATGCGCAGTATCTCTTGTTACTTGATCCTTGTTTGGGCCCTGGACCTGTAATGTCGATGTTTTATTGTACCAGTTAATTGTGGCTGATCTATCACCGCATTTGAAGACAAGTTGATTTCCATTGTTTTTCTCATCCCACGACCCTTGTAAGTTGAGTTGGGATTGTACAAAATCTCTTAGACCAGCTGGCTAACCATTTCATTTTCATTGATGCTTGTTATCATCAAATGAGATGCAGTTTGACTACGTTTCATCAGAGCTCGCAAATCCACGCTCGCCGTGTTGTCTTAACATTAAGCAATCATTAGTCTTTTTAAGACCTTATCCTTTAAATCTCGCATTTGTTGCTTTAGTGAAGAAACTGTCTCTTTTGGCATAATTCAGTGAAAACTACCAATAAAAGGACAGTAGAAAAACGATTCATTAAGGTAAGAAGTGGGAGCTCAAAATTTTGCGCCAATCTTGGCTCCTGACCGCTATACTTTCCACGATTCTCAGATGCTCATCGCTGATATAGGGGAAACGCGCAGTGAGCCAGGGTACGGAAGCAGTCCGTCTGAAAACGGGAAAGTGAATCAGCAATAGAATTGTCTCAGCCCGGGATGTGAGCAGCCGTGACTGCAAAGTTGTATTTGAGCGTTTGACGTGTGATTGCTCGAACGAGGTCAATTACCTGGGTGGACTTGGAGTGTTTAGAGTTTATGATGGCAACTAGACTTGTTGTCACACCACATGCGGATCCTTTTACCAGACCAGTGGAGACCCCATAAAATACAAGCCAAATATATGGGAAATAGCTCCTGCCATTGAATACTGATACCCCTTTTTTGGCTGAGCGCATGTGGTGGGGGAGCCAGTGGCACTGGAACCATTCACTTACTTAGAAACCCCCAAACCCAAGGGAACCAGAATCATCAGTGTATAGCTGAAGTCCTGGTGGAGAGGTGGCCTAGGTATATGAAAAGAAAGACACCCCATTGCAATTTTGGAGAAAGTGTTGCAACATATTACTGTCCTTATGGAAACCTGAATTAAGGCGAGTGTGCCAGTGAGGAAACTTGATCCCTTTTTTAAGGTGAATAATGGGTTTGCAAGAAGGGGCAGCCAGGGGCAACCAAGTTGAAGGGTGCTAATCAAAGACTGGAGCTCCTGTAAGGTAGCAGATTTCCTATTAGTCTACTGCCCAAGGGCTTCCTGTATGCGGGTGAGTTTATCTACCGGGAACGGGACGGGCGTCCATTTTATTGGAATCTAATAGGATGCCTACAAATTCAAGGCATGTGCATGTAGGGAAGGTTTTCCCAAGAGCTATGGGGATATTCTATTCTAAAATTTAGCATAGAGTAGTCATGCATTTTGATCGGGGAGGGGAGGTAGCAAAAACGAAATCATCTATTATATGAATAACCTTGGGAATATTGACTTTAGTTCAAATGATCCATTCAATTCAAGAGCAGAAGAGAATTCATCAAAAAGAAAGGGGGCAGACCTAAGACCAAATGGGAGGACTATATCGAAGAAATAGAGCCCCTCCCATTCCATCCTAGGAGTTCCCAATCCGAGAGATGGACAGGAACATTGCGAAATGCTGATTTTATATCTAGTTGGGACATGAAGCATTCTGGGCCGAGATCCTGAAGTATGGCAATTGCATGGTCAAAGTAAAATGTATTGCAAAGAATAGGACTCGGGAGGAACGTGGGCGGTGACACTGGTGGGGCGGTATTTCGGATACGAAAGGTGAATATGGTACGCAGTTAAGAGGAGTGTTTTTTGGAAATGACCCCAATGGGGTATACCTACAGGTTTGAGAAGGGAGGGGTGTGAAAAGGCCCCGCTGTGTGGCCCAGGGTACAATAACTAATGCATCGGTATTTGCACAGGAAAGTTTAGAATATTACTTGGGGCTCTTGGACCTGAATAGCCATTAATCTTATAGCCCTGAGAAAACCCTGTGAGAAGATGGTTAACGGACACGGGAAAACGTTTCGGATGCAAATTAAAGTCCAGGTCGGAGGCAAAAACAAGAGGTTTGCTGCGGCCGAAGAGGGGAGAAAACACTTGTCTAGCAGTCTCGTCTTTTTCTATCCAACGAAAGCCCGAGCAATGAAAATGTTTCTTCTGTTAAATTTCAAATTTTGAAAATTCAAAACATTTATGTTGAAATGTCGTTATATTTAGCTTATTTTATAAGAAAAGCCTTTTTAAAGAGTTTCACTGCGCTATGCAAATAAGGAGATTCCGCTCAAAGTAGCTCTATTTCTTTTGCTTGATTACTTTTTAACAGCGGATTTTTCGGTTATTTTAATTCAAAGTCAATGGCTGATTAAAGATTTAATTTCTGAAGAAATCATAACAAAAACCGCATTTTGAATTAAAGTAAATTATATTCAAATGATCTTGAAGTTTAATAACACGCGAATACACTTCTTGAAGGAAAAACATTTCCTGTCGCGTTTACGTTTATTATCTTTTTTGTTGTTATAAGAGATTTTGTCGGTATTTGACTATAACTATGTAAGGCTTTTAGAAATTATGAATAATTTTAAACTTATCTTTTTCGTAAAGGTAGAAAAGACTGACAGCAATATTTACAACAATAATCTTCTATTACATTATTTATCGTGTTCCCATTATCATTTTGACAATTAAGAAGAAAACACATTTATTCATCCAGCAAAGGGAGTGCCAGTGAAGGATAAGTTCAAGACAATCTAGAGAATTTGAAAAAAAAAAACAAACAAAATGCTGGCTTTTCTCGTATGTGGGCTTACCCTTTTGTTCACACCTAACGGTAAGTTTGAAGACGCCATTATGTTCTCCCGGCTCGAGGCTTTTTTGGACCAAAAAATAATCCGCGATCATCATACTAGATATTGAACGTTGATGTATTCTATGATTGTATAACATGAACGAAAATATATAGAAAAGTAGATTCGACGAATTTTTATTTATTCAGTGAAATTAACGTTAACAGTTTTTCTATCCAACTGCCTATATACGAAATTTAAATTATGGCACCCCAATAGATATTTGAAACGAACGCATCGATCCGCGTTGCGGTTGCTTGTGACAGCATAATTTACCCCCTTTTAAGCTATATCAACCATTCATTCAGTTGTTGGTAATAAGAGCCATGCTCAGAGAGTTATGTTTCAAGCAAGCGCAGCTTGATTAACAAACAATGCGTGGTCCTTTTTAATTTTTATTTTTTTGGCAAAGTTCATGAACTCGCTTTTTCAGTCATATTTTAAGTATCTATTCTGCTCGCTTTTAAACGGTATATTCACAACAGTTTGGTGACACCAACTACAGTGGAGCCTTGATATAATGAATGACTAAGGGACTGCCATGGAAATATGTTCGCTATAAATATGTTTCCTTTAGATATCAAGGTTCATAAATTCTACTATTACTGGGGCGAAAAATATCGCTCGTTATTTATGCCGCGCGACGAACCCGCGACGGCGAGGCACAACGCGCTGTAGAAAGCTTCATCAAACCGTGAGTAAAATAGATATTTTGAGAATGGACCTTTAGAGCCAGAGAAATTAACGCATTTTTGGTAATTCAAAAAAAATATATTAAATGATCAGAGAACTGTTCCAAGATATTTTGATGGACGCTGTTGAGACGTTATTTCCTATTCAACCAAGCCTTGATTCAATTGATTCGTTGAGTAGAATTTTCCGTGTTTTCGAAACCTTCGTTTTGTTCTCTGACATACATTTAATTCCAGTCAAAATATCTTTTACCTTTTTTACTTAGGAATAAGACGATAGGAAGAGATACTAACAAATACTTTAAACGGAGTTATTCTCTGTTCAGTCCAGTCAGTACTTTAGAAATTCAAGAATACACCTTTTCTGAGAAGAAAAACGGTCAGTTATCATAAATACAACATTTTCTAAACCGCACGTCTTTCATTAAAATAAGCCCCTTTTATGGGAGCGAATAAAACCAGACGTTATCGAATCACAAATACTGTGTAAAAAATGAGCTTTAGAATAAGATTCTAATTTTAGACGCCGTGTGGGGTTGTTGTCCTTAAATTAAACTTTTTAAAATATGTCAAAGCGAGATATGCCCTTTCCGCGATCAAAAAGCGTTGAGTTTCTTTTTCATCAGTTGCATTTTAAGTTTTTATGATACACTGGAAAAGTGTTATTGGCCAGGCTTGTTCACTTATGTTCAGGATTTACAAAATTAACGATTTTTCGCGATGGCCTTGCGCAAACTGCAAAATTTACAAAATTAACGATTTTCGCCGAACGAAAAGTGGCGCTGCGGATCTTACAACTGATTCACCTTTGTTATGCAAAATAACAACACATGATCCTCAAAGCGGCGCTGTTGATCTTACAATTTAACGGTAATTGCAAAACTTAAAAATTTCACGTTTTTTTCGCGATTTTGCCACAACTGTTCTCCAAATGTTATGGAGATAAAAACACATCCTCCCAGCGTTGCTGCAGGTATGCATTCTTCTATAACCGAAGTGCGCCATGTAAATTTTGATTGCAAAAAGAGAAACATTAAGTCAAAGAAGCCTTGCGATTTCGAATATCGTAAATGGCCTAATAAACGCCCGGGCCGTCTATTTAATTTGGGGGGTCCAAGCGGGGAAGTTTAATAGATAA